TACTACTACTACTACTACTACCAGAACTACTATTGCAGGTACGACTGCTTTACCAAAACCTTAAAACCGAAAGCCCCTAAACCCCAAAACCCGAAAGCCTGAGCCCTGAACCCTACACCCTCAAACCTGAACCGTATTATAAACCTAAACTGTAAACCCTAAACCCTTGCCTTGAAACCTTAAACCCTAAACCGGCGCGGCGCAAACTGCAAACCAACACTTCCCCGCCTCCGCACCCTGATCGCCGCCCGCTTCGACAATGGAAATAGCATCATGATCATGATCAGGGGCAAGTCGAAGCGCGGGCGATCCTGCTGGTTCCGGCTTGACTTCGAGTTCGATCCCCGGCAGCAGGTAGCCAACGAGCTCTAACCCAGCATCCCCCATCTGTCTGAGCTTCACTTGATCTGGAGTCTTGCATGAATCGCGGCACAGCGCCATCCTCCGCCTGGCAAGCTGAAGCTGAGGCTCATTCCGGAAGAGCCCCTGCGGCAGCGTGATGATCGAAAGATAGGACAGCTTCTTCGAGCAAGAGCTGCCGCTGTCCTCGTCCGTGGTCGCAGGGTCTGCGTTGTACATGTACCCCCAGGTGCACTGGAAGGTCAAATATCCTGGCGGGCAATGACATCCGTCCCCTTCTTCGAGCAACACGTAGGACCCGCCAAGCTCGAGCACCTCGTGGATGGAGTAGTTGCCCATTCTTGTCGCCACCTGCCCCAGCGTCTCACCCTCCAGGACAGCCTTGTCGAAAACGTCGAAGGGTAGCATCGCCACGAACCTGCAAAATCAGGAGGGGAGCAGGGGACGGGGGGAGAATAAATGCACCCTTTCATGAAAAGGTACTCCCGCCCCTTCTATAACCCAAGCCCCTAACCCCAGCCACCCCAGCCCCAATCCCCGGCCCCCATCCCCAGCAAGCCCTACCCCACCACCATCAACATCATACAAGCAATCGGGACAAAGAACATGCGACCGCTGTAGACATACATGAAACGTCCGAAGTTCATGTCGCCGACGCTGACGGATGACCAAACAGGCCCCGCATCCATCCTCCTCAGCTGCATGTACCCCCGCAAAACGGCCATGTCCTGCTTGTGGAGCTGCAAGAACGCCAATGCCAGCCGCTCTTCTCCACTGAACAGGTCTTCGGCCAAAGGACCAATCATTGGAAAGAGTTCGTGAAGATCCAGCGGCACATCCTGAGCCTGCAGCGGCACCTTCCGCTGAAAGCAAACCTGATTGCCTACTGTCTTGTCTGGCTGGCTTGCCAATGCACCTTTGAGACGATCCGCCAACTCATCCACCGGATGCCTGAACCACAAAGGTTTGCACGCATTCCACTTCGCCTGAAGCAGCTCCTCTGATTCCGGTAGCAACCCTGGGCATTCCACAGCTTGGGCCAGCATCACATCATTCCGACACCCTGCCAGCTGCCACCTGGACGCGAACTCATCACCCTTCGGTTTCACGGCCCTTGCCTTCCTTGTTGCCCTCTTCGGCTCACCCTTCGGTTTCGAATCCTTGTCAGGTTTCTTAGCAATCTTCTTCGGAGCAGCTGGGGCCTCGGCGGCCTCAGACGAGGCATCGCTCTTGTGGTCTCCATCCGAGTCCGGCTCAGACCGTGAGCTGCCATCGTCATCACTCAGGTCGTCGCCGCCGCCCTCCTCCAAGACACTGAAACGCTGTAGCAGTAATCTAGTTCATCTGCTAATTTTAAGCACACGCTCCCGCTCCACTCTTCAACATGCCAGTTGACTCGATGACTCAAGTGATTATTCCAATCTACCAGCAAGCTCCAGGCCTGATCAGCCTCATGCTTGCCTTGCTGTCGTGCAGCTTTCTTGACCTTTTCCATATCTTTGGTGCGACGGGCACGGATCTCACAAGCTCGAGACTCCTTTGCAGCGTCCTTCTCACGCTGGGCTTCCAGCTCTGCGCTCAGTTTGTTGAGCAGCTGCAACGCCTTCATCACCGAAGCCTCTGCAGACGACAATGCCTTCTCATGCTCTGCCAGCGTGGTTTTGGTGACATCGGGGCCCAAAGTAGCCACTGCCTGCACACGCGCAGCAGTCTTTGGCGACAGCTTCATCTTCTTGGCCTCTGAGCATGAGCCCTGGTCGCCGACATTGGCGGCGGCTTTGTTTGCCAACCCGAAGCTGCACTTGCTGTTCTCCGGACAAAGCGCAAACAGCCGTTCGAGGCGGGTGATCACGACCGGCACCAACCTCTGATTCCATTGCACATCACTCAACCGCAACCCACAAGAACGACCCGAAGAACTCTCAACCTTTGCTGTGTGTGCACACAAGTATCTCATGGCACTCCGGAAAGGCTTGTGCCTGCTCTAAGGAAATAGCAACCTCACTATCCAAGGCTTCCAACTTCTCGCGCCATCTGCCTGCCAACACCACGACCCTCCTCCGCATCTCCAGTGCCTGCAACTCAGGATCCTTTGACCTGGTCTGTTTGGGCTGAGCATTGGGATCGGTGAGCTTCTCGTTGCCAGGCGGACTGCGGCTCCGCAAAGTTTGCAAAGCATCTTTCTTTTTCGCCTTCCCTTTGGCCTTGGCTTTCGCCTTGGGATGGGCAGACGCGTTGGGCCCATCGGCGAGGATGGCAGTACCTAGGTAGGCAACGATGGGACCGGGGACAACAACCCCATCTCGGCTCGGGAACCCAACCGGGGGGTCTGGGCCCCAGCACTCACACCATACATCTGTGGTTCAGGACCCACGCCTGCAAGGCTTAAGGAGGCGAGGAATCGGAAAAAGCCTCACTCCATGCCGAACCCTCAACCCCCATACCCTGAACTGCCCTGAACCCACAGCAACTAGGAGACACCAGGCCAAATCCTAAACCCTAAACCCCACACCCGAAAACCCTGCACCCCTACCTACACCGTGAACACTCAAACATAGGCCCTAAGCCCTTGCCTCAGATAGCGAGGTTGTGCTTTGAGCAGGTTCGGGCAGATCCCGTTGCAAGAATTAAAAGTACGCCTCAATCCTCGAATGTTAAGCGTCTTACACTTACACTCATAGGCTTCTGGGCAACACGCACCACTAAGCAAAACGTCGACACACGAAGATTTCTGGACTTGAGACTGATCCACATCATGATTTATGGGTCCTAGGGAACGCGCACCACTCAGCAAAACGTCGACACACGAAGATTGCTGGACTTGAGACTGACCCGCATCTTGATTTATGGGTCCTAAGGAACGCGCACCACTAAGCAAAACATCGACACTATCGACACACAAAGATTTCGGGATTTGAGACTGATCCACAGCCTGATTTATAGGTCCTAGGGAACGCGCACCACTAAGCAAAACGTCGACACACGAAGATTGCTGGACTTGAGACTGATCCGCATCTTGATTTATGGGTCCTAGGGAACGCGCACCACTAAGCAAAATGTCGACGCGCGAAGATTTCGGGACTTGAAACGGATCATGACCCTCAGCTAGACTGGCTAAACAGCTAAAGCTGCAACTAGGAGACACCAGGCCCCAAATCCTACACCCTAAACCCCACACCCGAAAACCCTACACCCTAAATCCTACTCCCTACACCTACACCGTAAACACTCAAACGTACACCCGAAGCCCTACACCCTAAACCCTATACACCCTAAACCCTACATTCTAAATCCTACACCCTACACTACACCCTAAACCCTATATACTGCAACTGCAACCATCGACGGGATGACGGGATCGTAGAATCGCAGCACACACAGCAGGGGGCCAACAAATAATCACTCCATGCTAATGCCAAGTTGCTTGCTAGGTCAGAGATGCCGGCTTCCACATCGAAAGTCGAGTGCACCAAACCTGCACAAGGTGATGGGTGCGGCTGGATGACGCGGAAATCTCAATCCGACTAGAAGCTATAGAAGCTTACTAGTACACGCCTTGGCCCAATGCTGCAATGTCGGCTGCATTCTCCACGGCATGAGCTTGACTCTCCCGCAACTCGCGGCCAGCGTTCACTTGCCGCCCGCCGGCGTACTCATCCGTCTTGAGCTTCGCCACAGTTACTCCCCCAAAGTCGTCTCGGCCTTTGGGCACGGTCTTGTCGCGCAAAGCATCCTGCCACTGTTTGTCGGCTTGCTCTTCGGTCAGATTGTACCACTTGCGAAGTTTGTTTTTGAACCTTGCTTCGTTGAGGAACGGCACTCGCCCTTCCTGCCTGTGATAATCGTCGATTCTTACCTGGGGCAGAGAGGTCCACACACACCCGCCACCACACCCCCACCCCACCCTCGACAACACACCCTACCGGGTAAAGCAAACACGTCGAGCCTTGGGGCCACGGCTTTTAAAGAATCACTGCGGTCAAGTGGCAGTCTGCACTTGCACAAGTTCGCGCTTGCGCCCGCGGCCTCCTTTCCCCTTGTTCGCCACGATCCACTGTTGCTTGACAGTTGCAGACATGGTGCTCCACCCTGGAACTGAATCCCGGCAGAACCTGCCAAGCAAACAGCTCACTCAAGAATTGATCGACTCACAACTTTGTAACATCAGGACATCAGGCCTGTAGGATGAATGACAAAGTTTGCATTTGATTTTCGTGCCGTATTCATGGCAGTCATCCTCGCAATCCTCGCCACAGTCCATGCACCTCACTGCGGCCAGAAGTGCCAACCCGACTGCGAGCACTGCGCATCTGGACTTCAGACGCGGCACTTCTTCAGCTGCAGCACTAGAGGAGCGCGCTCGACCGCAGCCAGCTGCTTCTCTGGGCCATCGTCTTCGGCCATCCCTGCTACAACCGCTAGCCCAGCCCAAGCCTAGTACTGCCTAGCACCAACCAAAACCAGACTGGGGGCTACCACAGAGCCTCAGCGGGTTGACCGCATATTCAAGCCAGGTCAATCCAATCAAACAATCCAACGAAGAATAAGCAACAGCAATTGACGCAGCACAACACGGAAGCAATTGCAGGCATGCTCGTTGCAAGGTCTCCACTACAAACAACAGTCAGCCGTGCTCGCAGCGGATGCAAAAAAGCAATGCTGCACAAAGCATTGCTCCTATGCATGCGCAGTGCATGGAATTGCCAGCTAAACGGCAAAGCGCAGGATGAGACAAGCCTTGCACCTGGATTCGCCGTGAACCCGTCACCTCTGAGACCTTCTCCGTGACTGGCACCCCGTGTAGGAGCAAAAGCTCAAGCCCGTACACATACCGCTTGAACAATGGCATGTACATGCGGCTGCAGGCTGTCGTCAGTGTCAACATATGTCGCTTGCCGTGTCGCGGGCGCTCACACGGGTTTTGCGCCAGATCAACAATGGCCGCATCTGGACACATCTGCATGTACACGTCCAACCCTTAGCTCCGTGGCCAAAGCAATTGAAACACAGTCACGAGGACACGTGACACACATACTTGGAGCCGCAGTAAGCCCTGCACTCCTCCCAAAAGAGCCTTGAGGCTGATGCTGCGTGTCCATGTTCACAAGGAAATCCTCGAAGCTGGCCGAACACTCTGCACTGGTCACGTGGGAGCTCATGGCATTGATGATGCTTTGCAACGGCGCTTGCAGCCTTAAGCCGAAGGGCACAAGAAAGTAAAGGAGTGTTTCTCGTCTGCCACAACAGTATTCTATTGCAAGCAGTGAATTGAGAACGAAACCGCCACTTGTCCTTTCGTATCAGCAAAACATACTTCCGACGTCTGCTCACCGGAAAGTTCGCAACACAGCGTGGATCCAGGATCACGACTCCGGCCAAGTCGTACACCGAGCCTCGTGCGTAATCCGTGATTATGGGCTTATGGGCTGCTGGTTCTGACAAACACAATGCAATTTCTTGGCTGTAATGACAAGCAGCCCAGTGCATCCACCAACATCTGTTCAGGGAATCCAACTACATTTTCATGAACGAAAATGTCAACCGGTCTTTGCCTCAATTGCTTGCACCTGGGTTTGCACAAGAGCCGCACGCGCCCTATTTGGTTGTGTCCCTGCGGCTGCGACGATTTGTTCGGTGCTCCCACATATGCCTTGCCACGTTCCCATAACGACAGACAAGGCACATCACGACAAATGCAACCATTGTTCGACCTTCTGTACCAAGCTGTTCTCCCATTTGGCTCCAATCTGTGCACGGGCTGCCGCAAGCAGCCATTGATAGATCGGCCAGATCTGGAACACGCAGGCAATCCCTGTTGTGAGCGTAGCAACTCAGCTGGAACAGGCTACTCAACCTTTCCTCCCACCACAAAACATGTGGATATATTACTACTCCCCGAGCCCCAAACCTTAGCTAGCCATAGTTTCAAAGAGAGTAGTCATAGTAAATAGCAGTAGCAATAGCAGTCGCAGCAGCAGCAGGAGCAGCAGGGCAGCAGCAGGCAGAAGGTAGTAGCAGTAGCAATAGCGTTAAAAGTTTGCAGTAGTATTCATTCAGCAAGGTGAAGGACCAGGCAAGGAGCGGGGGGGGACAAATATATCGCCAAGATGCTGTGTAGATGCTTTCAACACCACAGATTCATCCATGATCAAGGTCAGCAGCTCTGCCAATGTTTTCCTGCGCAGGAAATCAAGTTGAGCATGGGTATTGCGGATGTGGAGTTGATGATGGATTTCTGTCACTGACGTGATTAGAAATTGGTTTATCAGCTGAATGCGACCTTGGACTGTCAATAGTTCATTATCCCGGAATGAGTTTGTCAATAGGTCGTCAATCGAAGCCAGTTCGTCAATGGTTCGTCAATCGAAAGCCGGCTCGTCAATGGTTCGTCAATCGAAAGCCAGTTCGTCAATGGTTCGTCAATCGGAAACCAGTTCGTCAATAGTTCGTCAATTCGTCAACATGGGGAAACGAGTTCGTCAATGATTGACGAACTTTACAAGGCATATTGACGAACTCTGACGGAACTTCCTTGCACGAATTGACGAACCCATTGACGAATTGACGAACAACGTCCACGTAAGCGACGAATCCAGCTGCATCTACGAATTCACTGGCGAATTGACAAATCGTGCGATGAATTGAGCCACACCTTAACAAGATAAACGATAACAGTCACGAACTAGCGAAACACCACGAATTTGTTCACAAGTTGACAAGCGTGTCATG